CAAACAGTTTAGTTCAATAAAATATTTGATTAATGATTATTATTCAGAGAGAAACACTTCTTGAAGTTTTTAAGAATATTTATTTTAAAAAATCCAGGCATAGTGACAGGAGTCCCAAGCCTTCATATTTTGCTAGTAGGGACATCCAACTCTACATGTACCTATACCTTGAATGGCTGATATTAACATAAGCAAATGTGTATTTTATCTTTTCAATCCATTTGTTGCCACTTTGATTAAAAAAACAACAACAAAAAACAAAACTAAATATGATAAAACAAATCATTGTACAAATGCAGATATAAATTAAGAAATAGCTTAGAGGAAATTACATTTTTAATATATCATTTACAAATACATGTTTTGTTTCAGTCAATTAAATTTATTTTTTATTATCAAACATTTCAGTTCAGTAAACTATTTGATTAATGATTATTATTCAGATATTTGTCTCTTTTCTTAGTGTTCTGTTCAATTTATTTTTATATTCAATCATTGTAATTCAGTTATTTGATTAATAAACTTTTTAAGAACAATTATTTAAAAAAATCTGGGCATTGGGATGGGAATTCCAAGCATTCTTAATTTTCTAGTAGAGAAATCTAGTCTTGTATTTACCTACAGCTTGAATAGTCGACATTAATACAAACAATTTCTAATACCTTTGTGAATTGAACGCCCACCCTGGTAGCTCCACTGATTGGGGTGCTGACTTATGGGAAAGGTTGCTGCTTTGAGTCTGGTGTATGATATCTCACAACTGTGGAGTAGGAGGCATGAGTCATCCACTGTGTATCTCATACAAAGAAAAAGAAGATACGAATCATTTTCGAATAATTAATCATTATTCAGGAACTGAAGTCAAAAACCTGTCATACAGCACAAAATGAAATAACAATGCTGTAATGAATCTATAAAAATATTCTAAAAACCCTCAAGATCACCCATTTGCTCAGAGAGAGTTGTATCAACGTGAATCATCAACCTCTCATTTTTGCATTAATACAATAAAAAAGGCATGTTAAATATAGCACATATCTCGCTCAAACCACCTTAAAAGTTCTGCAATGCGGAATATGAGGGTACTGAGTTAGAGAGAAAGTTATGCAATACCTGTGCGAAAAAAACGGTGAATTTTCAGCACAAAACTTATTAAAGGGCCCTGACAATGAAAAAGTGGATCAGTCTAGGTGCTTAATTGAGAAGAGAAAATCATCTAACAAATCTTGTAGCAGGAATCCAAGTTTTGTGAATTCTTGATACCGAAAAATCTATTGACAGCAAGACGTCCGTCCATCTGAACACGCTAGCGGCTAAACTGTTCAGCTGATTTTCTCTAAAACAACTGGCTGATATCGAGATCCCATCATCTATATTTTAATTTAATTTTGGGAGATACTTTAAATGATGTCCCTGGCACATTTTCAAAAAATGGGTCAATCATTTTTTTTTTATTTTGTTGTTGGATAATATAAAGGATGTTGAAGAGAATGGTGCAGGTCCAATTTTCATTAAAAACTCTTAATTTTTGGAAAATGGCAAAAATTAAAAAATTTCTTGGCATCTTCCTACAACTAAACTATTGGAGAGAGAAATTTTTCTCTAATAAAATCTGTTCCTCACAAATAGATTTTGAAATACAGTCATGTACAATGTTTGAAAAATTTGAGTATTTTTTTATAACTTTGTGTGAAATAAAGGCAATTTTTAGTTTTGTTTAAACAATTTTTTTCTCAAAAACGGCTTCATCATTTTGATTATTTTTTTTTGTTGGATAGTCTGAAGGACGTTTAAGAAAATAGTGCAGGTCTTGTGTTGGTTAAAAATTCTGACTTTCAAAAATTGAAAAAAAATTCAAAATTTGTTCGGCTCCTTACGACTACTACTACTACTACTACTACTACGACGACTACTACTACTACTACGACTACGACTACTACTACTACGACGACGACTACTATGACGACGACTACTATGACGACTACTACTACTACTACTACTACTACAACTACTACTACTACTACAACGACTACTACGGCGACGACTACTACTACTAAATCGTCGAAAAACTACGTATGTGGAGGCCCTAAAAACAGGATAGTTAGCCTGGTAAATAAGTACTGTTCAGAAATCAATTTTTTTGGAGGTTCTACATCTACATTTTTATCAAAGATGAAAATCATTAAATTGGATAGATAAAGTATTGTATTTCTACAGATTACTGTATTCATTCAGTGTGCAATTAATTAATATATTATAACTGCAAATTGTATAATAACATAAATGGATAAAGCCGATTGGCGTAAATAAATAAATTATATTTGCAATTTGTACAGAAACATTAAATAACTAACATGTTTGAATAGAAGAGAGCTTCCGATTTCTGAATACCATAATCAGCAATTAAAACTTCTTAAATTAAAAGAAGTGTATTTGTAAGCTTGAAGTTAAATCCTTCCTTCAATCTATTTCCTTTCATAAGAATATTATTTACACCATACAATCATCACAACTGGCAACAATGAGAAGAATTTTAATAATAATTTGAAACAGCTGTGTTGCCATTTTGTGAACTGAGAACATATAAAAAAATAAAAAATAAAAAAATAAAAATAAAAAAACACATGAAATTTGAACTCACAATTTGGATTGGGGAGGGGGGGGGGGGATTTTCCCAAAAAACTGAATACCCCAAAAATTAGGCCAGCATTAACCCCTTTCCTGTTATTTGCTACACAGGTGGAAAAAATTAAAAATGAATAGCCATTATCCGATAATAATGATTTAAAATTAAAAAATTGCCCACATTTCATGCAAAATTATGTAAAAACTACTCACATTTTCTAAACATTGAACATGATCTTTAAAGGTCTGTTTTCGATCAAGAGCTTTCATTACGAATTTATTTATTTATTTTTTCTTTTCCTTTTTTCTTTTTTTCTTTTCATAATTGTTTCATAATTCCAATTATTCATTTTCATAATTCCAATTATCAAAAATTTATGGATTGCATAAAAAAAACTACATACGCCAATATTTAAGCGCATTTCGCATCAGGCAAAAATAATACAAATTTGGAGCCATTTTCGCAAACATTTTGAAAATGTTGAGGCTTTAATTGAAATATGCCCTAAAATCAAAATAGCTGTTTCAGATTCAAGAGGCCATGGCGTCAGTCCTATGGATTGGGAATTATCACTTTCAATGAAAATCTTGTTTGCCATTTAGCCGCTACCCTTGTTCACAGACAAGCGGACATTTGGCCATCGATTAATTTTTCGGTATCAAGGCTCCTCCCTCCAAATGTGGATTCTGACTATACAACGTACTAGAGGAAGAAAATTACTACAGGCAGATAACATTTATGCACTTTTTCGTTGCTAGAGCCCGAGAATAAGAGTTTTTCTGATGAAAAATTCTCATTTTGCCCCTGCAGCATTACAATTTTCTGTACTGGAGAATCAGTAACGAGAAAGTAAAAAGATAAGGGGAATGTCATACTGACATCAGTACAAATATGTTTCTTACATAGCAAGATGTAACGATCTGCTGACAAAACAATTAGTATAAAGAAATTCACATAGATATTGCAATGAGTCGTGCACACTAGTTACGAGCACAAGCCCGGCACTTTTGCCTCAATCCCCCAAGCTGACCTTTCGTGCGAAATGAAGGTCTTGCGTGTAAGTACAGAGAGGGTCATAAATTCACAGCTATGCTGACCATCTATCATTGCATGCCCATATGAAACTCACAAGAGCTCCCTAAAGTGTGCTTTGTGAGAGTTGAACATTATGTGCACATTAGCTGATTCACATCTACGTGACAGGTATTTCATTCCCCAGGGAGCACCGAATTGCTACAGTGTGGGGCTCCGAGCTTCCCTTAACTCTTAGGATGTCTTGTACATTAATCATGGTAATCTACGCAGCTGCTACTGCAACTGTTACTTCCAGTCGTCAAACAATCAAAAGGAAACAATGTGTAGAATAAATTCTGTAAAGTGGGTCACTGAGGGAGAAGTGCCCTAAGCCAATAATCATCCAATGAACTTTAGAACTTTCTGGACAATCCAAATCTAACAAAGAGCAGGACAAGCTGGCCACACGTGATCAGATGGCTGTGTGTTTTGAGAGGGTATGTTTTTGGAGGAAGCTGCAAGTGTGGCGATGAGAAAAACACTCATCGATAATTCCGTGGAGAACAGCCGCTAATTTATTTTTTATTGCTTTGTTACAACTCTGTAAAACATCTATCCAAATTAAAATGGCTATTATTTAGAATGGTGCACGACAGGCACAAACATCCACGGGTATTTTAATATCCAGAATTAGTGGCAAACACTAAGACGGCAGTTTAATGCGAGGTGATATAGGACGGCCTTTATCCGAGGCATTTGCATTCCAACCACCACCAAAACGAGACCTGGCCACTTGCCGTATCTGATTAACTTCAACCAAGTGGGTAACGCAATGCACAGATTTCTCCCACCCAACCCGGACAGGTGCGTTCCATCGCAGTCATCGGAACAGCCCAGATACCAGCCAGACTCCAGCAGGCGTGCAATTGTTGGGGCAAAGTAATCATCAGTTAAGGTAACGCACCAGACCAGTTATCATTAACCCAATGTTAATGATGATTATCATTAACCCAACATAATTCAATGTCTGTAATATTTATCGGACAGAGGAATGTTCCGAATGATCACATTTCACTTCATCTGCTTTGGCACATTTTATTACATTTGCTGTTCAACATGTGTTTTAAGCATGCTTCATTACAATATTTGATACATTGCAAAGTTTTTCTTCTCTTGGTCCAAATACCCTGTGCCTATATGTGTAAATCCACAATAACTGGTTCCAATCTATTTCTCTTTGCAATTTTCCACCCCCCTCTTGCATATATACACACTACATACACTCAGGCAAGAAGACACGGAATGCTAATAATATATATTACGATAGAAAGGAAGAAGTGTGCATGGAATTGAAACAAACCATCAAAGTCTCTACAGCGTCGCTTGGTATGAAAAATACTTGATAGCAAAGTAGGACCAGTAGCAGCTTGGTCAGAGTTGGCCTTGTTTCCACCAGCACTAACAACACTCTGAATACTTTGAGATGTTGTCGTTAGCCTCATGTCTACATCACCATGATTGCTGTCTTGTGTAGGAGTTGCAGCACCAGAAAGGGACTCCTTTTTCTCTCGAGATCGCTCTGCAAAAACAGCATATTGAACTAATCAAAAGGCAAAAAATGATATGCATAAATACGAGTAATGCTTAATGATTATATTATTTTCTTAGCAAGAACAGTACTCTTCACCAAGTAAACAGAAAAATGTACACAATGCTCAGTTTTCTATAAACCTGAAGGCAATATTAATTGAAAATTGTTAAACACCAAATCAATCATTACCATTAGACCTTGATCGAGACCTAGACATAGAAAGTCTAGTCGGAGGTGATCGATTTCGATACACCCGTCCTCTATGGTTGTATCGAGGTGATCGAGAACGTGAACGTGATGTAGCAGCACTACGAGTACGAGACACCCCAACAGGAGAGTTAGAACGAGACCAGCTCCTTCTGCAACATTTAAAAAAATAAAAATAATTTAAAAAAATCATTGAGTATCTGTGCTTTTCTTGTCAATAATTTACTGAGAGATCCCGACACAAGACAGTGTTAAAAGATTACATTAAATTTCCTAATTTGTAATGTGTAACAGAATTTGAAGTATAAATTCCTTTCTCATACCAATAAACAAAACTCACCAGTCTTAAGATCAGATACTCAAAGAGCAAAACTTTAGTTAACATTGAGCATTTAAATAACATACATACACATATACAACCACTTTTCAGTTTTTAATATTGAAAAGACAAACACAAAGCCTAATATTTTAATTATGATTAAAATAAATAAATAAAAGTAATTGTGGTATTCTGTGAGAGAGGGCGTAAACTCGCAAAACTGAAAACATTGATTTATGAGCATATTGGACTACACTCGTCCACAATGGTTTGGTATCAGACAAAATTATTACTTTTGTTGTCAATTTTGATTATTTAATCATGTCCCATTTTTTGAATTTTGCCAATGACACCACAACATGCAAAATTGACAGATGCGAGGGAACTATGGTTATCACTATCAGGTTTTTGACACACTGTCTAATTTATCCGTAAGTCTGGTAATTCCCTGTACTTATTCCAGTTAAAAGATTATCTTTGTAGATAGTCATTGTGTATTTTCAAGGTGAAAGTTTAAATTCAAACAGGCAGTTTTTAAGCTAAAGTTTTCTACACAGATCTGGTAAATATTTGCCCAAATAGTTTTTTTTTTATGCTTGTGGACAATTGATGTTAAAAATGTGTTTTGTTTAACAAAAAAAAAGGTCTTTTTTTATTGTGATCATAAAATAGGCGATCAAGTCAAAAGTCTGACTCCACATTTATCTTACGCAAATTACATGGGTGTGTTTGCAAGGTGCGTTCAAAAAGTTTCAAGACTCTTTTCCTCTGTAGGGGAAGGCGCGCAGTCCGTTTCCACCGACAGGGTGAAGAAGTGGAGAGTGTCGGCTAATGGCCGCACCAGTGCCAGTTGTCTTCGAGATGCAGTGGTAAACAGATCGCTAATGGCGTGAGTGCCTGCCAGTGGACCTCGCCGAAAACGCAGTGTCTTTTGGAGCACAGTTATTCAATAAAGTTCGGTGTACAAATTAACAAAGCCACTATAGAGACTATTAGTATGATTCTAGAAGCATATACGGAAGACGCCGTCACGTGCAATCGTTTTCAGTACCAACAGACGTTCAATGATGGACGAAGACGTTGAAAGCAATGGGCGCTCAGGGAGACCGTCAACAAGCCTAAGTGATGAACATTTGGAGAGAGTGCGTGAAATTTTAAACAATGATCGTTGTCTTAATGTTAGATTACTAGCCGATGACCTGGTATTTACGCGGTAGTTCCCCGTTCTAAGTAACAAGTCCGCCGCATGTGCCCAAAGATGGGTTCTTTACCATGACAATGCGCCCACCCACACGTTGCTTGCCGCTGAGAAAGTTTTGGCCAAGTTCAACGTGACAACACTGTTGCAGCCACCCTGCAGCATCAACCTACCTTTCACTTCTTTTTGTTCCTCCGAATCGACAGAGACGAAGGGAAGCGACTAAACACGATTCCAGAGGTCCAGGCAGCATCAACGAGGTCCCTTGACAACCTTCCACACGAACAGTTTCAGGGAGCATATGATCAATAAAAAAACCGCTGGCAATGGTGTGTTGTTGTCCAAGGGTCATAGTTCGAAGTCGTTCAGTTCGCTGAATAAATTGTTTAATGTTTTTTTGTTCTGATCCCAGCCTTGGAAAGTGAACGCAACCTTGTAAGTTGGAGCAGTGACAAACAGTAAGAGCAGAGGTAACTGCAAAACAATAGGTGGTCAGTTAATCTTGTAGGCTTCCGCGACCAGAGTCATGACCTAGGCTGTCGGGTGACGCTACGTCGAAGGCTGAGGAGCCGACGTTTCGACCAACATATCATGGTCTTCTCCAGGGCTGTAGCGTTCCAGGATGTGTCGGGAACTTTGGCTTATTGAAGAGCCAGCCTATGCCAGTGTGCAGATAAAATGGTCAGCTGATACTGAGGCCATGCCTCCACAACGCGCGGGTGCGCGCCGACATATATCTGAACCGCTGCTTCTTACTTCTATTTTTGGGTTTGGCACGAACTGCGTACGTGCGTTGTGTCAAATGAAATAAACAGAAGATTTGGGGCTGATGATGTAGAAGAGGGGGAATTATTCTGAGTGTGCGCTAGTAATCTGTTTTGCAATTTATTTCTAGGTAATTTGTGATTTATGGAGGTCGCATGAAACGATTATCAGTAGGGAGTCTTTTTGTTCTAGACTTCGATTTTTTTAATGAAGTACTGCTGGTATCTACAAAATAGTGGGGTGAGTGTGGGTTTTGAAAACTGTTTCGAGAGTTGCTAAGTCGTAGATTACCTTCGTAATACGTTTTAATTTGATATTTGCTTTATGGTTATTGTAGATCGTGTCTGGATCGGGCCTAGAAGCTGTTCTAATGAATCGATTTTCTGCAATAGTGATTGTGGTGAGGTTTGCTCGTGAGGTGGAGGCCCAGGTTGACCAGGCGTAAATCCCTGGACTTCGAAGGCGTGAGGTATATAGGATAATGACACCCATTTCGATTAGGTTTTCGTCCAGCTCCCCTGATCGTTCAGCAATTGCTGAGATGGCCCCTTGTTTTGCTTCTGGACATAAAAGTAAATTCAAATTAACTTCTTCCCACAGCACGCCACACACAGTTAACCGTTTTGGCGTCAACAAATAAAAAAAATCACCGTTCTCACTCGTAATTTTGGCGCTGTTAAGAGTGGGGCGAGACGAACAACAAGGGATCCTATCTTTTAGCTGCTTCTGCGCACTGCTCGTGCCATGTAAGATTCTGATCAAATTTGATGCTTAAATAAGTTGTTTTTCCCCGGGATATCGTTGCCAACGACCTGTAGTGGGAGCAGTAGGTCGTTTCATTTCCATTGGAACATAATTATTTGGCACATGGGTTCAGTGCCATTTCTTTTGCACCAGTCAGTGAATTTGTCGCTCTGTGGAGTTTGACGGCCCATGAGGTTAAGCTCTTTTTGGCCGTAAGGGCCACGCCGTCGGCGTACAGTATTAAGACATGCTGAGCATTTGCTGCAGGTCGTGGAGGAAGAAGATAAAAAGTAGTGAAGAAAGGGCGGCCCCTTGGGGGACTCCTGCTTGAATTGGCAGAAGAGTTGAGATTGGTAGCAGGTTTGAAAACTTCTTCCAATGAGGTAACTTGCCAAAGTAGATAGAGGCTTGAAGTAACAAACATACGAATTTTTTCCGAATTGTATGTGGTAATGAACCTTGTCGAATGCATCAGAAAAGTCAAAAAAGATAGCAGGCAGTGAGGATGTAGCCGTTTATGCGATCGGGGCCGCTCGTTTTGTTTTTAGAGATGCTAATGCTAAGTTTATCTTCCGAAGTCCCGTCTGCAAGGAATTTAGTTGTGGAGCGGAGTTCATTGGCATGTAATTTCCTAAAGCTTCAAGGACGTAAGTTGGTGTTGACGGGAGTGAAGTGTTTCTGGTGTCCTCAAAAATGGTTTTTTCTCTGCGGGTTGTAGGTAGCTTTTTTTGGTTTGTTTTGAAAGCTGCTTTGTTGGTTTGGTCTTGTGCGGTTGTATCGTCTCTGCGCTCTGCGTCTCTTAGATTTTTTTGATTATGGGTAGGTGGCGGGGAGTGGTGAGCGTTGGGTATTGGCGGGGATGTTGACTGAACTTATTTTCTAGGCTTAATTGAGTTGGAAGAAGGTTGGAATTGAGGAAAAAGGATTGGTAGGTGGTCAGATTCAAGCTCGTTTAGAGGTTGTGAAACTGCGAGAGAATGGCCAGAAGAATGAATGAATAAATCGAAAATATCGTGTGGGAGTGAATGCAAGAGGTGAGTGGGGCCGGATGATGGTTTAATAAATAGTGGGTGTTAGGAACAATATATTTTTTCAATTTATTCTCTGCTGTTGAATTTCGACGATGTCCTCCTAGTCCCATGATGTTGGGGCTTCCTGTTTTTATGTTTTAGATGATTGGATAGGTGACCGGCCAATCAGGCAGGTCCGGGCTAGGTTATAATAGGTTGAGGTGTCGGCCAAGAAGGCGCGCGGGCAGCCTATCACAACCTAGCCCGACCCCGCCCGATTGGCATGTCACCTACCCAATCACAGCCTGTTCCATCTAGAACATAAAAACCGAAGCGCTCAACTTCCTGGCGCACTACAGCCCTGAAGACAAAGATATTCCCGAGCTGGGTGTCGTACGAGTATGACGAACATTTTGAACGGTATATCATAAAATTGCACGCAACCGTTACATCATCCACGGTCATAAGGCGGTAATTTTCTTTCAGAGGTAGGTACCGGTCATATGCTCGCACGATTTCCGTGCCCATTGTACTCTTACAAACATCAAATTATCGGTACCCTTCAGTTTTTCGAAGGTACGTCAAACTGTGTTCATCAAACGTGAGAGGAAGCGTCCCGCCGGGCCCGAGAAAGGGCGAACAAAGACAACGGCTTCGGCCGTATTCCTCTGACAAGATGGAGGCAGAAGACAATGACCGTGGAACTTCCACTGCAGCTGACCAGCAACACCAACAAGCTGAACTATGGCAAGTAGGTGCAGCCAAGCACTACCACTCCCCTTATTCATCTGGAATATCTGCTCCTCTTCAGAAACCTAAAATTCCTGCCACACCACCCCTCCCAAAGAATCCCCTCAATGATGGTTTCTCAACTCCTAAATATACCGCAAGAGCCAAAGGAAATCCAACTTCAGTTCCAATTCCCATCAACAACCCTTTCCTCCCTTTCAACCCATTTACCCCCCAATCTCAACTATCCGTCTCTTGCCAACAACCACCACCGTCCCAATCTACTACGTAAACTCAATTTACTACAAGTACCCAAAACTCAGCACCTCTCCAGACATCCAGACCTAGAATTGACCCAATATTCATTTCCAACTCTGACATCTTTGATGGCAAAGAATTAATCCAAGAGCTTCAAAAATCAACCACAACCACAATCAAGATCCAGGCCAAATACACTAAAGACAATCTTATCACCCCCAAATCCGCCTCTGCCCACTAGAAAATCGCATCACGACTCCTGGAAATAAAAACCAATGAAAATTTAAGACAACTCTCATTCTCAGCCCCACCAAACTTCCATTACCACCGAGCTACCCCCGAAACCCGTGAAATACCAATCCTTTTACGCATTTCCCAAACAAAAAGCAAATGATATGTTCCAAGAAATCCACAACCAAAATTTCACCTGCTTCCACCTTTCAGAAATGATCCGACACAACCCTGACAAAAACGCTTATCACCTTAGCATTTACATTATCGAAGTACACAAGCAACAAATCCCGCATATTAGATCCAACCTTCCCTACCTCTGCTTGCACGATATCACCATCGAACCATACAAACCAAACAACTTAATCCCAAGATGCACCACTGCCAACTTTTCAACCTCACCCGAGCCTACTGCCATAGAACCCCAACCTGTTGAACTGTACCCATCCCCATCCTACTGAAAAATGCCCTAACCAATCCCGACCTGATTTCAAACCCCTATGCATCAACTTCACAAATAAACATCCTGCCAATGATCTCCAATGCCATACCCTCATCCACTATCAACAACAAAGAGAAGCCAAACACAAATATTCTGACACTAAGACAATCCCTTTCCAATACAAACAATCCTCATTCCCATCCTTCTCCAACATATCCTACGCACATTCCCCACAACACCAAACAAATATCACAAGCCCCCCCCCCCTCCACGTAACTCTGAATCTTCTTCATCCACCTCCACCATCACGGATCTTAAAGAACTCTTCATCCACATATAAAACATGCATTCCTTTCCAAGCTTCTCCACACTATCAAAGAAATAATTCACACCTTCAAATCCTCTGATTACATTGTCCAAATTAATCTCCGCTGGAACCAAATTCTGAACTTTTCTAAATTGCCTCTTCTTCTTCTAACACACTTATCTTAAGTATCTGGAACTAAAACGGGAACCTATCCACTAAGAAACCTATTAAACAATTTATCTCAGACTATTCTATCAGCATTCTTCTACCTCAGGAAACTTTCCTTAAACCACTCTTCCTTTCAGCATCCCAATTTCATCACTTATTGTTCTGACAGACCAACTGACAGAGACGGAATCGCTATCCTAATACGAAACAACATTCCCCACACCCATAACCACCATAGAATCAACAATTACACAAATATCCTCCCACGACCCACCTATCAACATTGTCTCAGTGAACACACCACCAGACCCAAGACTAGATCCTGACGACCTTTCTCTTCTCACCCCTCATTCCCACAAACATCGCTGGCGACTTAAATTGTAAAGACAGACACTGGGGCTGCCGAACTACCAACACGAACGAACGAATACTTCACGAACACCTAGACGACCACCCAGAAATTATCCTTCTGGCCCCCCTTGAACCCACTCAACTCATCCAACACAATCATGATATACGCCAGAGCCACAATACCAATGTCACGTACGATACGAACTATCCCCATATGTAGGATACGAACTATCCTCTGATCACCTTCCTGTTATATTCTCAACATGAACTACAGAATACTCTACACAACACCACTCCTCAATCATCCAACCAACTGGTCAGAATTCAAACGGCATTTTTCAAGAAAGATCTACTCCCCCACTTCCATATCTACCCGGACGAAATAAAGTTTGCCAGCGGGTGCCAGTTGTCAATCGAAACAAGCTTTACCTCCTCACTCGCATCCCAGAGTCCGCTATACATATAATTTATACGAACCCCATCCTTACCTCCAGAAAGACAAATCATGTGGACTATACATAAAGACGACACCACTGAGGCGATTAAATCTCTTCAAACCAACAAAGTTATCGAAAAAATTTGGAGCCATTTTTGAGAAAATCGAAAATGTCTTAGGGGCTTCATGTGAAGTATCCCCAAAAACTAATGAATGATTTTCAAAATCTTAGACCTTGCCAAATATAGGTGAAAAAGGATGATAATCTCCATGTGAAGTTCATTTTGGACAATTTGTGGGATGAAGACTGTCTAATTGAACAGTTAAATTTTTCATGTTGCATTTTTTTGCATTTATTGTAAATATATAAACTTACTGCATTTGTTTACCATTTATCGTAAGTAGCAAAAAAAGGGGGAGAAAGAGAGCGATGTTTCAGTGATGGTGCCACACTAACAAGCTTCAATGCTAATAAATTTGTAAAAATTGCTTATAATTCAAAAATCCATAAGTGTGGAAAGTACCCTTGCCCCCAAAGTGAAGTTGCTTATTCATAAACACTGCTGTTGCTCCATCTCACTTTTCATCATCCCTATTCTCATCGTTTGTCACTACTCCAACATAAATGCACTCACATTCAGAGTATGAATGCAACAGAAGCTCTAGGCCATTTTTTGTCCCTATGGTGAGGTGAAAACCACCACCACCCAACAACATCAAGGCTGATCAATAAAAACTTAACTGGATTATTACAACCATGAAGGAAATTAAGACAAGTAATGAAAATATCAATTCAATTTGAAATACATACAGCATATGGAGAATCTAATAAATCAATCACAAATGGTGGAAATAACACCACATAATACATAAAAAAGGGCCTTCTCAATGTGTTCTTCTAGCAAGAGAACAAATAATATAAAACACAAATTTGTATTATTAAAAATTATACATTAACCTTCAAACAATTAAAGTTTTTGCACCAACCACTTACGTTCTCACAGGTAAAATGCATAACGATTTCTGGGTAATTAATCAAACTATCTGTTTGCAATTATAAAATTAAAAATAAATGTTGCACTATCGATAACAATTTATCGATGAAAAAAGGGTTTCATGAAGAAGAAATGATGTCAAGAATTTTATAATGTCGCTCCAACATAATGACAATTATCTGAAGAGATTCTAAGAAATATGTGTATGAATAGAAATTAAAATGTTCATTGAAACTAAACAAAAACAAATGAGAGATGTGAAGGTACAGAAAGTGCAGTGCAAATAATAAGACATATATAAAAAAGAAACCATCTTAACAGTGATGCATTTTCAGTTACAAGATAGATTGTTCTGTGCACTACAAATTGCCACCTTCACTCTTCTCACCTTCTATCCCGCTCGTACCTCCTAGGAGGGGGAGATTTATTTCTCCATGCTCTGCTTCTATCACGTTCTCTTTGTCTCTCCCTATCACGTTCACGATCTCTTTCTCGGCTTCGTGACCGGCGAGATCTGTCCCATGACCGAGATCTTGAACGAATGCGTGGAGGTGATTGTGAACTTCTATGCCTTCTACTTCCAGTTCGACCTTTGTCATCTTTATCCTGTAAAAATGAGCACCACAGTAAATTATGAACACTTCCCAATTAATAATTGCATACATTTCATTATAAAAATTGAAGATATTCACTCGAAGTTATTGAGTTTCTCTTAAACTTAATTTAATGTTGAAGAGTCGCTGTACATTCCTGTACTTACTGAATCTGATTTTCTGTGAGATGTACGAGCTGATTCTGTCTCCCGTTTGTGTAAAGTTTGGGTTGGTAGAGTTGTGGAAATACTGCCATTTGTCTGGGAAGAATTAATAACAGGACCAAGACTTCCAGTAGACTAAGAGAAAAAGTTAAGACATTGTCATACACAAAAACAACAGAAATTAAAAAAAAATACATGTAAGGAAAACTAATTATATTACATGGCTTGCAGTTGGCTGAACAGGCAATGCTGTAGTTGTGACGGTTTCTGTAACTGTTGTAGGCTGATTTTGTTGGGGCTGAAAAGTTTCTGCTTGTTTGCCAACAGTGGAAGTTACAACAGGTGATCCCGCAATTGTTGTAGATGCAACCTCTGTGGTTGAAGATGTAGTAACAGAAGAAGTTGGTAAACTGTAAGAATGTGTCTCCAGAGTTTGAAAAAGAAGGTCAACAAACTTTTTTGTCTCTGTAAACAAAATACAAAACCAATATTTGTGATTTAGTTATTTTAGATCAATAACTTTAAAAATCAAGTTAACTAAATAAATCAATAATTATCAAATTCAACATATATGTTAATGGACATCGCGTATACTAAATAATAAAATTAGTTTAAAAAAACAACTATTCAACAATAACAAATGATAAACTGAATCAGCAGCATTGTCAGATACCACAATATAAACACTTTTTGGGCAACAGGATTGTTGAAAACTGGAATAATGGCAACAGCGCCAAACACAAGCATTCAAGGGGGCTTACGATAGATTATAGATTAACCATGCGGCATCCTAGTATTGTCTTGTTAAACTCACAAGAAATTGGAACTTCTACTGCAACTTTTGTAACTTCAAATGCTATTTGGCTTTTTGTAACTGCTTAACCTTTACTATTACTAAAATACGAAGGATGCCTTTTATGTTTCGGGATTTGGCAACCCTGGTGTTACAATCTGGCAACATTGGTCGAAGGAAATGCTCAAAAAATACGATCGCGGTACTTCGAAACACGTCTATGACATGACAGGTGATGAATCGTGGATTTACGCATATGAGCCCGGAAGTAAACAGAAGTCGACTGTTTCAAGATGAGCAAAATCCAACAAAAGTTGTTCGCGCACGAAGCACTTCCAAACAGATGGTGGCCTGTTTTTTCGGAAAAACTGGTCATGTCGCAACCGTACCACTAGAACAACGCAGAACAGTCAATTCTGAGTGGTACACAACGATTTGTTTGCCAGCTGTCTTGCAAGAAATCAGGAAAACCAACCGCCGAAGACGGATCACTCTTCACCACGACAATGCTAGCTCTCACACATCGGCTCAAACAACTGCATTTTTGAGTACCAAAAACATCGATTTGATGAGTCATCCGCCGTATAGTCCTGATTTGGCACAGAATTACCTTTTAATCCCGTTCGTAAAAAAAACAGAGCTCAACGTTTTTCGACACTTGAAGCGGTTGCTGCATTCAGAATGCATGTTTTGGATATACCTCACTCAGAGTGGCAAAAGTGCTTCGACAATTGGTTCATACGCATGCAAAAGTGTATAGATCTTCATGGAGAATATTTTGAAAAACAATAAAGTGATTTTCGATGATTAATATTTGTTTTTGTTCTCTAATCCTGAAATATTAAAGGCACGCTTTCAGTGTTCACCGTGGTTTGCGCAGATTGATGGGGTTTATTTGCATTATTATTTCAAGATTCGTTCTCGTCGCGACTAGAAGTAATATCGATTGCTTTATACTGATGACGTTCGCTCCTTATGCGTGTAGTGCAACCATTCATTTAATGATTTGCCGTGGTGAGCAAGTGATGTGTACCTAATTGTGGAGAGCAATACGTTGGAAACTGACCACATGCTCCTATGTTCCAGTTTTACGATACCCTTAGGAAAAAGTAGGATGGGGTTTAACATGCGACAGTTCTCGCACAGTACGCTAGTTTATTATATATTTTCGTCTGGTAAGGACATTTCGCAGCACACAGCTTACTTCGCATGTAATTCCGTTTGGCCTTCTTGAATGACTGTTAAGGCCTTGTATATCTAGGTGGTGTTGGTCCGACCCGCCCGATCGGACTGGTCCCGTGGCGTCTGATCCCGGACACCACCGTAGCGGGCATCTCACCCCCCTGCCGGCATCACTGCACGGTTCCGCCAGACTGGGCGGCTAAGCAGGCAACCAAATACCCGTTCCCTACACAGCCACACAGAATTTAAAATCAAGCAGTCACCATCCTGGCGCGAAGTCACCAGCTGGAGCTGGCGGATTATATATGCAATTCACACATTTGACCGTGGCATGTACAATGAGGCGGAGCGGAAATCTCTATCTTAACCTTTCGAGTACCAAGCGAAAAGCTCTCTATCCGGGCGGAGAAACAGCGTTTTGAATGTGAAAAAATATACTTAAGTTTACAGTGTTAATTTAGGGAAGAAAGCGACAATAAGTGTATCAAGTACAGGCAATCGAAACATATTGCTGAAAATAAAACTAAGACTGGAAAAAGCTTAGTTCCCTGTATTTCAGGTGTCATTAGAAAGCGCATGCCTGTGAACAAGTGAAGTTAAGAGCACCAGAGTTTTTACATAGCTCATTGGATGAATTGACAACACCAAGCGGATACCTTTGAACTAATAAAAAACGATACTGACATGTAGATCAAAAGACATTACTACTACCTACTGATACCTTTCAACTGACAGAAAGACTTCATTATTACCACCCAGTGGAAAATTCAAAACAGGCAAGCAAGACCGCCATCTGACGCTAAGTTCATTTCCTTCAATACCTCTCGACTGATACTGTGATGGGATGGGTGATACTGGATGTGTAAATCCGCAATAAAATACACCAAATGGAGTCATCAAGCTGCTTTTTGATTCTTCTGGATTTTGGACGACATAGTAACAGCAACTTGTACTCCTCTCAACAGTAACTGAACGACCAGGCTCTCTTTGGAAAGTCTACTCGACTACTGGTAACTGGCGACTCTTTTGGATAATTCTACTGGCTGTTGTCTCCGCATTCATCGGTACATCCTTTGGATTACGACTAACCGGTTTTCTTTTCTGGACATCTGGATTAGGGAGACCGCTACGCCTGTGGGCTTCCCCTGGAATACGACACTCCTTTCTACAGCAACATTATTTACAGCGCTAGAAACTATTTTGAACGAGTGTAACTTCTCGATCTTCCCTCGGAGAAGGCTGCGCGGCCAAGCGGTCGGCGCGGCGTGTCGTCACCGTCTCATTTGCGGCAGAAAGCCTCCGATACCGGCGCCTACGTCACAACAGTTCCCCGCAGCGCCGCACCTCCCGGGCCGCTTAGGCGGTCGGGGCTCGCTCACCTAGCGCGCTACGGCGCGTGAAATGGATGCCAGCGAGACATCAAAACAACCCGCCTCTCGCGGCCATCTCCCTCTACAAACAGCAGGCGTACGTGAACCGCTGCAGTCCATACCAGACCAAACGAAAGTGAGGATTGTGACAATCTCTCAAAAAAGGGACGAACGGCACACCCAAGCGCTCGAGCACCGCGGCCTCTCCGACACCGACGCCGCGACCGCAGCCGCTCGCGATCAGCACACCGGAGCGGCCTGGCACCCCGTGCACCTCACACTGCAGAGGCTTCAGGAACCGTCCAACATTAAAATACTCTTCTAATTTGTTACATGCACCCAGCATGGCATCCGGCAGCAATGAAGTATCTTCTGCAGCAGGAACAGCAACCGCGGGGGTAAGCATTGACAAAGAGGAGATTCTAGCACAATTATTAAGACGACTTGACAAACGAGAGGACGAAAAAAGACAAATACTGGACTTAATGAACGACGTAAATCTACAAACAATTCGACAAGACAATACCTGGACTTCAGTAACAAAACCTACCCGTTCTACATCTATTTCCCAAGGCTATGCTCCTCTCTCTGACTAAAAACAGATTTTAACTTCTTTCAGACAACGACAATAATGATATGACAACATAATTGAAATAGTACATCAAGACGAAGACAGATAAACCAAGCGGCAACAACTCTACAACGACGGCTAATAGGGATATTAAGCATCGACACAAAGAACTAAAAGACGCAAATGGACTTCTAAAGCAGCGAAACAAGAACTTGTACAACCAAATACTAACGAAGACTACCAGAAACTACTGACCAGAATTGAAGAACCGAGACTAGACACATCCCCAATAAATTGATTATCCATTACTACCACCACCATAGGACACCGACTGAATCACGGACAAAACTAGTACTAAGAGGACTCTCATCCAATATCTCACTCCACGACATTCTGGATGAAATCAGATTTGACGACTAGAGTTTACAAGGACCTTGACTATACATCATTGAAGTAACAGACGCGACGTAACCCTCTAAAACAATGACAGAACTCATGTACCACAGCATCAGACTTCAAGACTATGTCCCATCTGACCGAGTACGACTGTACAAATTGCATGCAAATACAACATACAAAGACTTACTGCCACCGACCAACAGTCTGCGGTAAAATCTCAATCACCCCACAGACACCTGCAATAGTACTTCCACAAACTATTTTAGAAGGTCATCCAGCATACTGGCTCATCTGCCTTGGCATGCCGAAAGCTAGACAAGAAAGACTACAAGCAGCTGACTAAACAAAAGGAGTCCTTATATTAGTACTTTATACTAAATACTCAGACACAGCAATATACTGCACCAAACCCACAATCAAAAAATGCATTCCCTGGACTTCCCAGAAACTTTCTCCAACAATCCCAGAACACCTCTAACACTTCATATGTTGACATAAATGAATCGACAAATCAATTATAACTATCATCAACATCGACTCTCTCAGAACTAAAAGAGCTGTTTACGATGTCAAAAGAATGCAACAACAAAAAAATCCTAGTGCACTATCAAAGACCTTATCACAATCATCAAAGGACCTGCTGATACAAATAACAAAAATTATGACCGATCTGAAAAGAAAAATTGTGACATATTCTAACTATGGCGATTTTACTATGGACAGGTGGAAGAGCAGGCTAAATGGCCTGAGCCTCGACATCAGTAGACATTTATTTCATTAAACCATGACTGACTAATATAATGACTTGATGGACATCAGTCTCGGAAGAAGACGGACATCAGACAATATATCAAAGACTACTCCATTGGAATATTACTGATACAAGAGACAAAACTTGATTTCCGACAAACCTACTCTATCCTTGACGTCCTCCCCTACCGGACCGACAGACCCACCATGAGAGGAGGAACCGTCATCTGCATTCGCAAAAACATCGCACATACCAAACTCCCTTCCACGCCCACATCCCACACGTAGAAAACATTCACATCGAACAGTCAACCCCTCACTGCCCCATAACAATTATCTCCTCCTACAAGCCCCCAACATGACATGACCATTTTATCCAGTGTCAACTCATCCTTTAGTG